CCTCGAGCTGGCAAAAATCACGAGATCGCAAAAGGACCTTGTTGATGGTGTACTCTTGTATCAAAGCCGCCTTCCAGGTCGAGGAAATGCTGAAAGTATGGCGGACGTATCGTAGAGATCCCTCCCGCAAAGGGTCCATGGCCCAATCCGAATCCCGCCGCGAAAGGCGAGATTGCAGGCGCGCCCCGTGCAGGCTTGAGCCCAACGCCTCTGGCCTTACTACTAGGAACAAGAAGCTAGTAGAAACAATAAGAAGCGAATTTAATTAGAATTGAGTTTCCACACCCAGCCTGAAACATCAGTCTTCTCAACAGAAGCACCCGCTTCCAGCAACAAACTTACAGCCTCCGGGGAATCGACGAGTGAAGCTTCCTGCAAAGCTGTCCTGTCGGGTGCGGAGTCGAATCGAAAAGAAAAAATAATTTGCCATTTCCAATGGAACAAGTGCATCGCTTCTAGTAACAAGTGCCTTACTAGTAGTAACAAGAAGCTACTAGGGGCTCCTGGCCTTACTACTAGGAGCAAGGACGCTACTAGGAGCAAAGGGCATCGGTACTAGAAGCGATCGGACGCTACTAGGCGCTCCTGGCCTTATTCGCTTGGGATCCGCCTCAATTGATACCAACGCAGCTCCGCCGTCCTGCCAGCCTCATCCACAACGTCCGGATCGATCGGCTCAGCCAAAAAGGCTTCGAAAGATGCCGACTCCTGAGCTGCAGAGGCTTTTTGTTAGTAGTAACAAGTGCCACGCTAGTAGTAACAGGTGCCTTACTAGTAGTAACAAAAAGCTATTAGAATTGAAGTTAAATTAATAGCTTCTTGTTACTACTAGTGCACTTGTTACTACTAGCGTGGCACTTGTTACTAGAAGCGATGCACTTGTTTCTAATAGTTTCTTGTTACTACTAGTAAGGCACTTGTTACTACTAGCGAGGCACTTGTTACTAGTAGCTTATTGTTTCGACATTGCAAAGGCCAGGAGACATGACTTCCTTCCGCAGAATCACACCTGTCCACCAACTAATAAATAGCAATGGCCTCCAGTCTAATCGAGATGGCCTCCGACCTTAGAGCGATGGCCTCTAACCTAGAAGCGATGGCCTCCAACTTAATAGGAATGGCCTCCAACCTAAAAGCAGATACTCAATAGGTTGTGAGTTTCATCCCAGGGATTAAAAGCCGTCCTTCAATTTGTGCGCGAGTCAGCAATGTTTTCCCCCTCGTGAGAATCATAAGCCGCCTTTGCAAGGATCATGCACCCAATTGCACGGATTATGCGTTTGTACAATGATGTGTTAGTTTGTGAAACGTTGCGCTGACTGCTTCGCTTCTTCTAAGTCAGTCAACTCATCTCTGGCAAATCGAGCCAAGCATCCTGGCAGGCAGCCGCTAAGAACTCTTTGCATCGCTTAGCATCAGGCACCAGCAGTGGAATTAGAAGAAGTTGAAGATCTAATGGGAACCTGCTGAGTAAGGGCACTTGATAGCTGATAGCTTCTCTTCGACTCTTTTCGATGAGTCCAGAAGAAATATCGAGAATGTGGTGTTTGTGTCTTTCAAGGTGTTTTTCTTTGTGGGCAGTGGATGACAGTGGTCAGCCTTTCCATGCATTCTTGACAACCTGATGAACCTATTTTTCAAACACTGAACACGTGACTGGTGTTCACTCTTTGATGAGATCTTCACAATGCACACCCATAGTGGAGCTGACTGCAGTCAAAATCTGCAAGCATACTCTGTCTGAAACAATATTTGGCACTAGATTGACTGTACGCCGCATGGAGATAGCTACCAGAGGCCACCACTACGGTATGCCACAAGCGCAGTCCAGGTGAATCCAGAGGACTTCACAGACTCCCCACCGGACCCCACCGGTCGACCAATTTGGGCAACTTACTTCGAAGTTCTTAAGGCTTTGAGTTGCCTTAACAGCCTCAACATAACGCCCCAAGCGGTTGATTTTCCAGCTCTCCTTTCCTAGTGAACCAATGCAAGAGCAACTCTTGCTACCTCTTCTTGTCTGTTTCTATTCTTCTCCTTCTTCTTTTCTTCTTGCTCTTTGTGGCCTCAGAACTTCGAGACCAGAGATCTCCCAGCCGAGTGGCTGAAGATCTTTGAGAGCCAAGTCCTCCTGGAGCACACGGCCCTGGCAAATCAAACGCTGCCGGAAGATGGAGATTCCCAGCTCAGCCGCACAATGCCTCAGGACGGAGAAATCAAAAACAATGTCTCATGATTCTCCTGTCTCAAGAACTGAACACTCTCAGGCTTCGAATCACAAGTGCCGAGAATTGGCAATGAGACCTCTTAAATTGGGCAAACAATGAGAGCGCCAAAAGGACAGCGCCAGGCACAGGCACCGGGCGCCAGCACCAGGCACTGCGTGCAGCTCAGGCACCGCTTCAACGCCTTGATCGACAAGGTGCCCGGAGTCTCTGTCAGCTCCACGATGTCTTGAGCATCCAACTGCACCTGAAAGAGGCTGAACTCAAGATATTGAAAAAATAGCAATAACTAAAATATCTTTTTAGATACAAAATATTAACATAGTTACATAGTTAAACATATTACTGCATTGTTTATGTTTAAACTCGATATATCATTTTTCTTTTGTTTTTTGCTCTTGAGCATGCACCTGAAATAGGCGCTGAAGGAAAGGTGACCAACTACAACGGGGGACTTACGCACTCTGGATTGGACCTTCACAACTTGATGCGCCCATGTCCAAATATATTTGGCATCAACAATACACCAAGTGTTTTGAAATAGTTTGAGATAACATGTGACATCTGGTCATCCACTAGAATGGCGATGTGGCAACCAAGACTCATGCAGCGACATAGGTGCACGCAGCGATATGCAACGTGCAGCGACCGGTGTAACAAAGAACTGTGACTCGACTCCAGCCTCTTTTCCAGAGATTTGACAGACCCGCAACAGCGCCATTGCAAAGGCCAGCTGCGATGCTCTTATTAGATCATCATTGAAGATCACTTGGGTGCATCTCTGGGTGAGGACACTTAAAGCCAGAGATGTGCGAAGCCCCTCCAGAAGCAACGGCCAAATCAATTGTGAAACGGACACAACTGGTGGTACTTTAAGCAATACCTAAAATAGGGATCATCATCGTTTTCCATCATCGCTTTTCATAGGTCATAAAATACCTATACACACAATTTTCGCTCAACGTGTATCGAAGCATCGTTCTGACATTATTTCCGGCATATCTTCCGATTTTTTTCTGGCATCTCTTCTGACATGTTTTCTCGCATATCTTCTGACACGTTTCCTGATATTCTTTCTGGCATCTTTTCTGACATTCATTCTGGCATATCTTTTGGCATTCTTTCTGACATTCTATCTGGCATATCTTCTGACACTGTTTCTGGCATAACTGTTGACAGTCTTTCTGACATCTGACATTCTTTCTGGCGTTCTGTCTGGCATATCTTCTAGAACCAATGAGTAACATAATTCAAATCACATGTTCATATTTATGACTTATATAAATAATGTCCGACCACCAAAACATGTATGTAACAATATAACATGTGAAGCTTTCTGATGATGAAAAACTAACAATGTTTAACAGTTTGATTTTCGGAATAACACATTTCTAGGAATAGACTTTATTTCTACAAACCAATGAATTAGGTCACACATTGCTTTATTGTTGATTATTCACGCCGCTGAGCGGCAAGGTCCGCCCGCACCGCCATGAAACAGTTGCCCAACAAAAACGGCGAAGACTGTCACCCAAACAGCCTCAAAAGCACAGAATCTGGCCCCCCGGCCTCCCGACTTCATCACCATATATCACAAGGGCTCATCATGTTGCCATTTAGTAAGCGTGGATCCAAACAGATTGTTGCGTTCAGCTCCCGCTCCCAACAGGTCTTGCTCCTTTCACGGCCTGTCGCGGCCATCGGCCATGGTGAACTGGAGCTATATATATATATAGTGGAGCTTCGCATCTGCCGAAACACCATTTTTGACAGTGTTTTCATACAACGGAACTAGAAATAGTGAGGTTTTTGACGTTGACGTTGCCGACAACACCACTATGTACCGAATTTTACAGTGTTTTTATGCTCCATGAGGCAGAAACCACCGCTACTTACAATGTTTTCGAGCCTGCTGTCAAAAAACACCACAATTTCTGACGTGTCCAACAACATGGTCGCCAGAAACACTGCTATTTGCGAGGTTTTTCATGTTCGTGCAAAGATGTCAAGCCTCAACCGAAAATCGAAGACCAAAAGTCAAAAAATCACATTGTCTTTTCACTTTTCTCTTGCCCATCAAAAACCCATGGTTTTGGCTAAAAGATGCTCCCCCCCAGGTAAACCTGTACCTTACAGTTGTTTATGCCATCCGGATGATCACGCCCTGAGCACCTTCGGTGCGGGCGGGTTTTATGATGCGAAAGTGAATGTGGTGAGATGATGTGTAGGCATTTTGTGATGTTGTTCCGAAATGTGCTGATGATAAAAATGATTTTATATAGATAGATATTGCGATATAAATCCTACAATGCACACTTAAGACATGTTTCCCCTAGGGGTTTTGTCTTCTATTTCTTGATTTTGTCGATCACTCAACGAATCGACCCTCCTACAGGATCCCCTGAACAAATACATCAAACACAATACTATTGATGCTTTAGTTCAGGCGCAATTGTTACTAGTAGCGATGCACTTGTGACTAGTGAAGCCCTTGCCCTTTTTCAATTCAATGGTGTCAACCCAAGTTCTCGAGCCACACAGTCGCAGTTCTACGAGGGGACGATACACGAATGAAGTTGAAGCAAAGTGATCGGGATGGGGTCAAACTTGTGTCTTCCCACTAGACGACCATCCTTGCACTCTGTATCCCCTCGTTGGCACCCAAAAAGGAAGAAATGGTCCAAAGGGTACGGTAGAAATGGTCCTCTACTACAGATGTCTAGGATGTCTGCCCACTTACCTGTCCTCATGTGCCGCCCGTCTGGGTCCACGGACGGAGAGAGGACAGGTCTACGTAGACCGCCGCCGGGCAACTGGCACGGTTTGATGGGGACCTGAAGGACTCAATGCGACAAGGACGCTACTAGGAGCAAACGGCATCGCTACTAGGAGCAAGGACGCTACTAGGGGCTCCTGGCCTTACTACTAGGAACAAGGGCCTTACTACTAGTAACAAGGACGCTACTAGGGGGAGGCTACTCAAGTAGCGTCCTCTTTGCTCAGAACCACAAACAAAATACAGGATGATGGTATGAGTATGTGCAGTATATGTGCATTAGTATGTGCCCCCCCTGCGGCATTGTGTTCCAAAGCGGACGACATGCAGGCTTTCAGAACTGTCAAAAGGCCTCAGAACTGTCGAAGATGCGACATAGTAACAAGTGCATCGCTACTAGCAGCTAGAAGCTACTAGTAACAAGGGCCTCGGAACTAGTAACAAGAAGCTACTAGGGCTCCTGGCCTTACTAGGAGCAAGAAGCTACTAGTAGCCGGGGCATCGCTACTAGTGCCTGGTGTCACCATTGCTCCCCGCCTGGTGTCCACGCGACGCGACTGTTGCACGGGCTTCGGTGGCCTCAGTCGCTCCGTCGCCATCCGCCCCAAAGTGCGCTGCATCAAGGCATGACGAAATGCGACAAGGACGCTACTAGGAGCAAGGACGCTACTAGGGGCTCCTGGCCTTACTACTAGGAGCAAAGGACGCTACTAGTAACAAGGCTGCTACTAGGTGGAGGCCATCGCAAGTAGGGTGGAGGCCATCGCTACTAGTAACAATAGAGAGGTTTTTAAAGCCCGCTCCCAGCTACATACTAGTAGTAATGCCTTTGTTACCATAGTAGCGATGCACTTGCTACTAATTGCGATGCACTTGTTACTGGCTGGGGACGAAGTGTACGGACAAGTTTTTGATTTCAGAACCCGACGGCTCTGCCTGGGTGCGAATTTCTATGACCAGGTGCCATGACCAGGTGCCCGGACACTTGAGGTGCCTGAGCAGCCTTTTGCACCGATGCGGCGGCACCCTGCAGCAAGGTAGGCCTCAGGGGCAAAGGCATAACAAGGGCATCGCTAGTAGTAGCTTCTTGCTACTAGTAGCAATGCCAGGAGCACCTGGTAGCGTCCATGCTCCTAGTAGCGATGCCCTTTGCTCCTAGTAGCATCCTTGCCCCTAGTAGTAAGGCCAGGAGCCCCTAGTAGCGTCCTTGCTCCTAGACACAAAGAAAGAGAAAATGAAACGGTGCAGAACGACATCCTGTCGTTCGGTGCACATTGTAAAGCAGAGGGGGGTTCACATGGCGATTTCTCCGAAAGACATGAACAAGCCAACCTCTACGCTCTGTAAACAATCGTTGGGCCTTCCACTAGCGAAATTCTGGCAAGTTGATGAGCTTCGACCATGGCAGGTCATAGCACTTAGACTCATGGGGTCTCCCAATTTTATTCTTTGCTTTTTCTGGCAATGTAATACCAGGCACATTGCGGGCTCCTGGCCTTACTACTAGTAGCAAGAAGCTACTAGGGGCTCCTGGCCTCGCTACTAGGAACAAGGACGCTACTAGGAGCAAAGGGCATCGCTGCTAGGAGCAAGAACGCTACGAAAGTTGCTCCTGGAGAATGTCATCGCAACTGGTATTGAACCTTGCGGATCTGTCTCTGCAGCTTTCAGTCGAAATCACCCGATGCTGGGCCCACGTGCCCGGTGGTTGTTGGAATCGAGATGTTTGCTTGCGACGACACCTCAGATCCAGCTAGGAGCTTCGTAGTTTGGCCCACAGGACTCCCCAATCCCAATGCAAAAAAACAAAAGAAACTATAAGCAATGGCCTCCAACCAAATAGATAGCAAGACTAGCAAGACCTTAATGCTTGCTCTTAACTGGCCCGTGCGGCACTTACAAGAATGTTTTCTTGCGCATTCTTTGCAAGAACTCTTCTATTGAAGGCCTTTTTATCAGCTACACTCAGCTCCCAGACCGGCCATGGCATACCTTGAGTGGTCGGATAGGTGACGAAGGGCATGGAATGCTGCCTTGGCTGTCATTGGCTGTTGCTCGAAGATATTCTCCAGGAGATGATCAAACGCATATGTCTACACAAGAGGAGTGGTTCGTTCGCATCCGGATGCATTGGGGATATATGACCAAGAAAGTGTCAATGGATCTCATGACCTCCATCTTTTTCAGACCATATGGCCCTGCCTCCTTACTTAAGTATGTAGACGCCTACTTAATTAAGTAAGTAGCTACTTAAGCTACTAGTAACTGGACGCAGGATAGCTCACGCTTCTTCAAGGAGCGCTCGCACTGGTGATTTGGTTCCTAGATGTTTAGGGAAACTTAGGGTTCAAACGTTGCATGTTTCTACACAGGGAAGCTGAATGTGTTCAAAGTCTTGCGCCCAGTGGCACTCCCATTTGCATCTTATTGTGGTTCACTTGTGCATTTGGCCTGGCCGGGGCGAGTCAGGTCGCTGTGTTTGGACATCTCGGTTGGGTGGATCAACCTGGGATTTCAAGCTGGTCTTATCCACCTATCTAAAAATTCTACTGACAGTGACACTCTAAAGACCACAGATTCATGAGCTCTGTTGCAAAGTAGCGTTCGCCGCTCCCAAATCGGACACTCAGAGTCAGACGTGTTCTTTGGAGCCTGTGTGGGCGATTCCTGAGGTAAGAGAGCTCTGGTATGTTTTTTGTCCATCCTTTGAACTTTTGCTTATCTCCATCCACACACAGTAGGGCTCCTGGCCATACTACTAGGAACAAGGACGCTAGTAGGAACTTAGACGCCTTAGACGCCACAAATTCCAAGCAAACATTCCTCAACTCACCGAATTCTTAGCAAGGACATCGCTACTAGGGG